AGAAACCGCATAGTTATGGTGCATGACTCTGCTATCATCCGGGGAGTGGAAATCTAGCTGGAGAAATGGGGTCTGTGGGACCAGAGCCAGCAGAGTCTGGGGGAACAGCTGAGGGAAGTTTGTGGTCTGTTATTTTGCAAAGATCACAGCGGTTGGGGGAGGCTAGCTCGGGGCCAGGCAAAGATGCGTGGGAGGTGGGAGCCCGGAACCTGGTGCCCCACGTGGGCCGGGCCGTGGAAGGGCCGCGGGGAGGGGGCGGCAGGGGGCGTCGGTGCACGTGGGTCCCGCCAGGCTGCCCTGGAGAAGGGGCTGGAAGCGTCCGGCCAGCACCCGCGCACCCTGCAGCCGTCCCACCCTCCACCTCTGTCCCGCTCCAGCTGACTCGGGCCTCGACTGCTCTCCCTGTGCCCGTCACTTTTGCGAAGCCCGCCAGATGGGGCCCCTGCACCCTCGGACGCCCGGAGACCTCAGCCTGTGTCCCGGGTACTGGCATGTTAGGCCTCAGCCTGTGTCCCAGGTACTGGCATGAGGGGCCCCGGGGACGCCGGCGCTGACCACGGAGCGCCTCGGGGGTCGCGGGGCCCTGGGCCGCTGTGCTGACCCGTCGTCGTCGTCGGAGATGCCGCTGCGCCCCTGGCGGCGCCTCGGGGAACTGCAGGACCTGGCCGACGCGGCCTGGCGCACGCGCAGCGCGGAGCGAGCTCGCCCCCTGCCAGCTAGTGCTGCGCACGGTGCCTGCGTCCTGGGGTGGGGGGGGTCCTTGACCACGGGTGCACTCGGAAGGGGGTCATCGCCCTGGGTCTCCTACCAGGACCTCGTATGAGGGTGGGGGCACGGTGGCGGGCTTGGCGGTGACCTTCGCTGACCTCTCTGGGGGCGCCTCCTCCCACTTGCCGGCCCAGCCCACAAACAGGCCTGGAGTCAGGGGGTTCCTGGACCTAGCCATCGGCAGCACTCCCACCGGGGTCACGGCTGTCCCTGGCACTTGTCACTCAGAAAAATAGAAAGCCATGAGTGAGCACATGCCTCACGCACTGTCAGTTCACTCACGCCCTCCGCCGCGGGCCCCTGCAGGGGATCAGTGGGATCCCAGACACTTGTCTTCTCTCTCCCGCCAGTCCCTTGCCCCGGGTGCCCCTGCGTGCACGGGCCTGCCGGCTGCTGGTGACTGGGGTTGACAGAGCACCACGAGCTGTCTGCCCCTGAACAGAACCCTTGGCTGCAAGGCCGTGCCCTGGAGGTTCCACTTGGCACCGAAGGGGGCACTGGTGGGAGATGGCTGGAGCTGGGTTCTTAAAGAGTCTTTTGTTTCTCAAGGAGGAAGCAGGGCTGCAGGCCAAAGGGGACGGTGTAACCCAGCAGAAGGAAGGGGGTGGGGGGAGATTTATGATTCCACAGGAGACACCTCGCTCCCACCCGGCCCCTGGCAGACAGACCCTGCTCATAGCCATCCATATCCAAGCTCCTGATGAAAGGGGACCTCAGGGGTTTGGGGCCCACCCTTCTCCTACCACCCCTCCAAGGACCCTGCTTCCAGCCCTCCCCACTGCCAGGGAACCTGGATGTGTGGGTGTGTGCTTGGAGCCCGGTAGTCAGGCATTTTGCTCTCACGGTGTCTCTCCCAGCCTCACCAGCCCCAGCACTAGCCCGAGACACCCACAGTTCCTTCAGCCCACCCTGCTATAGATCCGGCCCCGGAAAGCCAGCCCCAGGGCCATGTCCTGGACACATCGGTCCAGTTTGCAGAAGGCCAGCCTGTTCTTGGATCCAGTTCACTCAGGGACGTGCTGAACCAGCATGCTGAGCCAGGAGTGCTGGGAGAGATGAGCAAAGCCCAAAGTCCATCCTAGCCCTGGGCCTGGAGATTCCTGCTAACCACTTAGCGGGCTCCCTCCCCACCGCTAGGCAGCTTCAACATGCCTGCTGCCTTCAGACTATGCTCAAAAGGTGGTCACCACCTTCCCAGAGCCACTGTTCCTCATCTGGGGCACAGAGAAGAGGAAAGGGACAGGTGTGGGCAGAGAGAGCCTGAGGCCTCAGGCAAGTCCCTCCGCATCTCTGAGCCTCCTGTTCCTCCCCTGCAGAATGAGTGCCTAACCCACGATGGTTAGGGTAAAGACTCAGGGCGATGTTGCCTATGGAAGGGCACTAAGCATTCAGTCTCTGCGCACCTACAGTGGGCTTGCCCTCGGCCAAGGCTGGCTGCTAGACTCGGAGTGTGCAGATCACAGGCTGGCCTAGGCAGTGCCCCGGGGCTGATGACGATCCCGGGTGACTAGGGCAGCCCCAACTTGGGACACAGAGGGGCTCCTGCAGGAAGAAGTCAGGCAGAGGTAGGAACTGGAATCATGGGGTGGAGGGCACATCCTCTGCAGTCCCAGGCGGGGGTGGGGGATGTTTCTAGCAGTTGCCATCAGGACTGGCCCCCAGCAGGGCAGAGTTGGAGATGTTTTCTAGAGAGGGAGGCTGCCACGCTGCGGGGAGGGGCAAAGAGCAAAAAGCCCCTCCTGCATGGGGTTCTTTTGCATGGTCCTCCTTGGTGCTTTCTGTCAGTGCTGACCCCTCCCAGCTGCTGTACAACTTCCTCTGTGCAGATGACCACTGACCAACTCGGTGTCCGGAATCTAACCCACAGAGTGACATCTGCTCAGAATCCACACATCTGCCGTCACCCTCTGCCCCACCCCCCACCAGGAGACAGGCTGGATTCCACAGAGGAAGGTTAAGCGCTCCACCCAAGGTCACACAGTGAGCCAGCAGCCCCTGCACAGGCCAGCGACCCCCTGCCAGAGCGGGGACCCCTGGTGTGTGGCTGGGGATCGGGGGGTGGAGGGTGGGGAAGGGCAGAGTCCCATTATCAAGGAATGAACAGACCAACAGTGTCACCAGCCTCCCTGCCCCTCCCTCCCCAGCCATTGACACCTCATCCCTCCTCTACCACCCCCACCCTCACACCTGCAGGCCCCAGTCCTCCCAACATGGGGATGCTCCCAGCTGCTGAGTATGTCCACTTCCATGATGCCTTCAGAACTGGGGGATGACCACAGGATGGGCCCCCGGGAGACAGGCCTGAGCTGAAAGTCCATTGACCGCCTGCCTCCATTAGCCCTCCTCTGACACAGAGCGTGTATGTCCCCTGGAATTGGAGTCAGGCCAGAGCCCGTGTCCAATCGTCCCCGGAAGGTCTGATTATTTCCTTTTCGCCGGTGCACAGCCACCCCAGTATAGGTCCTTTTGGGGAAGGCTGGGAGAAAGATTAACAGTATACAATTTTTGGCCATGTACCAAGATCTTTCCTCAAGGGGACCCAGCCTCCCTGGGTCTGTAAACTGGCTCAAGTCTGGGAACTGACTGAGGGATCATGACTTTGTTTTTATGATTCAAGTTAGACTTCTGTTCACTTGACCTGCAACACTTCTGTTCGTTCAGATCAGTAAGAATTCAGGAGGCTTCCCATCGATTTCACGTCCAGGTACACCGTGACCAGCTCGCCAACGGCCAAGCTCTGTGCGCCTCACACCAACCTGACTGGCGCTCCGACTCCGTGGTCCGTCTCAGGCACCATACCCTCCTTGCCTTGGGCACGTGACCCCTGCCCCTCGGGATCCAGTGATCCCCATTGCATTTCGGTTTCCCAGCTCGCTGCCAGTCCTATATGTAATTTCTGGCCTAGAGGAGATGCTGGGGCTTGCTCACAATCATGGTGAAAGGCATGTCCTCTGGACCCGAGGTGGGGGAGTGGGTTTTAAAGGATAAACCGACTGTGACACTCCCATGTCCCTAAGCCTTTGGACCCTCCCTCCATCAAAGCAAGGCAGTGCAGGCCGCCTTCGGGGCCATGTCTCAGCCAACCGAGTGACCAAATAGTTCGAGCCCCCTCTCATCCCCTGAGTTGTACCATTAAACCTCCAATCTCTGCTTGGTGAGCCCCTATCAATAAATTCAGCCTGATCCAACTTTACTTTCCTTTTACCATCATCCCACCCCTTAATATCCATTTTTTTTTAAGATTTTTTATTTATTTATTTGACAGAGAGAGCACAAGCAGAGGGAGAGAGAAGGAGAAGCAGGCTCCCTGCTGAGCAAGGAGCCCGATGCGGGACTCAATCCCGGGACCCTGGGATCATGACCCGGGCCGAAGGCAGCCGCTTAACCGACTGAGCCACCCGGGCGTCCCCTTTAATATCCATTCTTACACGTTCCTGGATTTGTCCATAGAATTTGGAAAAATCGCGTGGTTCTTCTGCAGTGCAGCCTACCCCCATGGGTGGCATTCTGACCTCCCCCCTCAGGGCGGGAGCATGCGTCTGTCTGTCACCTGCCGTCTGTGCCCTCTCAGGGCCTCTCTGCGTGCTCTATGCTGCCACCCGGGAAGCTCCTCTTGCTTCTCTCACCTGTCATTGCTGAGATGATCCTCCCATTGGCGTCCTCCTCCCTGACCAGTGGGGCCAAAGCACCAGCCCCCTCATTGCCCCTCCACACAGTCTAGCATCATTGCTCTGCCGTAGATACTCACAGTCCAACCGTCACCTGATGGGAACTGTCCCTCAAACACGCCGGAAGGCCCTGAGGGGCAGTGAGGCCCGTCTGTGCTATGGCTGCATCCCCAGCAGCAGGCTGCACCTGCTCAATGAATATTTGCAGAACAAGTGAAACAAGGTGTCCTGGCATCCCTGAGGGGAATGAAGACAGCAGGCCTGGGTTCCATTTGTTTACTGATCTCCTGAGGACTCCAGGGGGGAGTTAAGCTGGGAGGGGCCGTGGCATCACCCACCCCCCCAGGTGTGTGCAAGAAGCCACAGCCACCACTTCGTGGGAAGGTGTGAGCTCTGGGCTGTGAGCTCCCCAGCCCTGACCTTGCACAATCAAGGTAATGGAGCAACCACTGTCCTAAGCCTGAGTGAGGCAAGGTGTACCCACCCGGATTGTGAAACAGGGAGGATTTCTCCTCTCAAAACTGAGAGACCAGGGGTCTGTGCCCTTGGCCCGCTCCTCCAGCAGGTCACAGATCTTCACCACTCTGGCTGCCTGGAAGGGTTTCATCAGAGTGCTTCATGTAGTGACCGAAGCTGGGGCAGCTGGTGAGGGCTGCCTCCCTTTGCATTCTGTCTCCCCGTATAGCCTGGGGGAGATGGGCACAAGCTTTGGCGAGGGCCAGAGCCCATCTCAGAATCGGGTCCCACAGGGGTGAGTCCAGACAGGCAGGGAGAGGGCAGTGGGCTGAGGAGAAGAGAAGGTGGGGTGTGCCATCATTCAAGGGCAAGCAAGGCTTACAGCCTACTTCCCTGAGACTCCCATATGAGCAGGAGGCTAAGGTGAGGCCACAGCTGGCCCTCCAGGCTCATCCTGGCAGCAGGCTACGGGCATCATGGCAAACAGTGCTCTTCCCCAAGACAACCTGCGCAGAGCCAAGACCTCCTGATGCTTCAGCCAGCCCACCCCCAGCCCGTCTGAATGTCTGGGGTTCCAATTCCAAGGTGCGATGGCCAGAGTGTGACCAGGGCAGTGTCCAGCTGGAATGGGTATGCGCTGCCCACCTAGAGCTCCTGAGAGCCAGAAGTTCCTTTGCCTAAAAGAAAGGAGGGAGGGGAGAGAAACACAAGTCACTGCTACATTATGCTTCAGATGCCATCCCCTGAGCTAGCCAGCCAGCTCCAGCCTGCAGGACCGGGCAGCTGGGAGGACTCAGGCACCCAGCTTGGGGGAGTCTGTGTGCCCCGTTTTGTTAAACGATACTTTTCATCAGCTACGGTCCTGCTGGGGGCACATGGGGAGCTGGGATTTGAGCTACAAAGTGTAGGGAGGAGTCCAGAGGGGCTGGCTGGGCAGAGAGACGTGGGCTGGCTTGTGAGCACCTATGTGAGCAGGAGGCCAAAGAGCCAGAGGGGATGCTGCGCTCAGATAAAACTCACATGGGAAACAGCTGCCCAAACTGCCAGCACAGGGAGCCCTGCTTTCGCAAAGGTCGAAGTCGGCCACTTTGCTTTTACGTTTCATTCACACCACACGCCCGTTCCCTATAGTAGTAAGGCAACGGCTTTTCTCATAAGTGAAAATCCTCTTTAGGTTTCTTCCAGTTAGTGAAAACAGGCGCTAACGTATAAGGTCTTTCACAAAAGTGTAGTGGCACAAGGGAAACTTTCAGAAAGCGGGAGATACTCTTCACTTTACACCATTCTGGCTGATGAAGTTTCGTAGGAGCAGTCTATTTGCAGAGAGTGGGAGAAACCCGTAGTAAGCATACTGCCCACAGGAGCATATAGCATATTGCCCCCGGGGCACCACGTCAATGCACCTGTCCTCAGACAGGCCTGTGAAGGGGGCTCAGCAAGCAAAGCCACCGTGCAGAGGAGGAGACCCGCTCAGAGAGGCTGAGCAGCAAGCCCGTGGCCACACAGCCCCAGCCCCAGCCCTCAGCCTCTGCCTGGCCCTGCCTGCCCCTCCAATCTCCGGGAAGAGCCAGGCCCCCACAGAAAACCCTCTGCCTCATCCACCCTCAGATGTCCCTTTTTGGGGCACACATCAATCAGGACACCTGCCCCTTTGGGGTGGCCCTGGGCAGCTCCTGAGCAGTGTGCTTTGGGGCCCCCAGGATTTGTCACTGTAAGTGGATGAGAATAGCGTGCCCGCTGCCCCTGGCCCTCTAAAATGTCAACAGGCCTGTGTCCAGCTGACAGAAGGTGAGCTCACCTTTCGGGATGAACTTCAGCGAACTGCTAAATATTCAGAAGCGGGACTGCCCCGGCTTGGGGCCATCATTCAGGAACTCATGGCCCAGCCCGTTCCCACATTTGCCGCAGGACACCTGGCAAGACCACAAAACAACCATGCAGTGGCCCCTCCTGCCACCAGTACATGGTGTCCCTCCCACACCCATTTCCCAAAGTAACTGCTGGTGGGGGAGGTCGATCTCCATCCTGGGGCCTGCACAGGAAAGCGGTCCTGTTTCCCTGTTTCCATCAGGACCCCAGGCTCTCCCTGACCAACACCCCCTCACCATCCCCTGCTGCTGCACCCACCTTTAAGGCTTCAGGTGAGTTGCGCTCCAGACGCTTGGCCACACTATCAGCATGAATGGTCTCAGTGAAGGCGGGCCACGGGGATGAGTGTGCGTACTTTGAGCGGCTGGAGAAAAGCTCATAGCCACACTTGGCGCACACATAGACACCTGCGGGCAGAAGGAAAGGCAAAGGCAGATACATTGGCTCCACTCTCTGGGGTGAGCTGCCAAATCCTCACGCCCAGGAGAACAGAGCACTGTCCCCATTTGCAGGGTGGCCTGCACATCCTCCCCACACCCTCGCCTGCCACCCCCAGGCCTGGGTATTGGCTCCATGCGGCACACACCACTGAGCTCCCATCCAGTGGTTCTTAGCATGCGCCAGAGCCCTGGAGAACCGCTTTTCACTTATCTCATTGACTCTTATCAATAGTCCTGTGATGTACACCTTGCCATTTTAGTTTCGCTGTTTTAAGTAGGCAGGTGCCCATGCCCAACGTGGGGCTTGAACTCGTGACCCGGAGATCAAGAGTCACATCCTCTACTGGCTGAACCATCTGGGTGCCCCTTTTCCAGTTCCGTTTTGTTTTCTTAAGAGGACCTTTCCGGTTTAGAGATGAGGCAACTGAGTGATACAGAACACTCCACTCAAGGGTGTGCATTCAGGAAGGAGCCCAGTGGTCTGATGAGGACGCAGCACACCCAGCCCTGCAGGCCCCAGCCCCCCTCTCTTCCCAAGTGGCCATTCCTGATGCCCAATGAAGCCTTAAGCTGGACTCCCAGCCACTGGCCTGCTCTCCACGTGGGAAGAGAATGGTCCCAACAAGAAGGTCTCCAGGACAGACAGAGGGCCAGGGAAGAGAACAGGTTTTAATCTATCCCCAAAAGATCACTTTGAGGGGGGGGAGAAAAAGGTTGTAAAACTGACGTCCGTCACAGCTGACGTCCACAGATGCCCAGTGTCACAGCCCAGCCCCCTAGGGGGCTGACACCCAACAGATCCCACCCCAGGGAGAGCACTGCCCTAGTCTTATCTGTGGGCATACTACCAAATTAGTCCATTACCAGGAGGCACAGCCCAGAAGGGCATCTCAAAGCCTGGGGCCAGGGCTGAGGGTTGGCCATGCCCCAAACCACCCCACCCCTCCTCCACTCAGGCTGTCTGGTCAAACTTCACTGGCACAGAGTGGCCTGGCAGCTGTCCCGGTTGCCCAACCCCAGGGCTCTGGGCAGATTGGGGAAGCACCCAGGCGGGCACATTGGGTCGGAAAGGGACGCTCTGTGCTTGCCGGCTTACCCCGCGGGTTCCAGAAACAGGGGAGGGGAAAAGGCTGGGGTATCATCAGCGGATGCCGTTGGACAAGATCCTCCATCGCGTCCCTCTGAAGTCCAGATCCTAATCTGGACCCTCCTCCCCACTGGCATCACCCCTTCCAAGTACCCTGACCCCACAGATTCCTCCCGGAAACCGCCTCGCTCACGCACTCCTCGAGGTCATCGACCCCTCTCTCTAGTGTCCCCTCTCCCCTCAGGTACCCCTTCTTTCCAGGCCCCCAGGCCCCTCTCTCCTCCGGGACCCCCTTTACGCACACTCGCCCCCGTGGGGTCCGCCCTTCCGGGGTTCCAGGGCTCCACCGCCGCCCGAGGGCAGCGACGCCCCCTCTAACGCGCGCTCCCGCCCCGCTGTCCTCCCAGGAGGTCATGGATCATACCTGGCTCAAAATGGTTCTGGAAAACCTCGCCCCCGAAGAAGCTGCAGAATGACATGGCACCAGCAGGACAGCTAACGTCCGCCGCCCGCCACGGATCCGAGGCCGCTGGCCCGCGACAGCCGGGTCTGCACCCGGGGTTCCGCCCCTCCTCCCGAGGACAAATCACTGCCCGGAGCCTGCCGGGCAAACCAGAGGCCCCGCCCCTCCAGAGGACCAATCACGTCCAGGCACGCCGAGCAGCGGCGCAGGGCCCGCCCCCGAGGCCCCGCCCCCGACATCTCCTCCCCGTCCCCGACACCGCCCCCTGCCTCCCCGCCCGAGCGCCAGGGGGCGCCGCTGAGCTGCGCCGGGTTGGGGCGGGGCCACGCCGCACCGGTCCTTCCCCGAGCCGAGCCCCGGGCCACCCTCCTTTCCGTGCTCCCAATTCTGAGACACCGCGGGCAGAGTCGCCTCCGCACTTTATTAGACAGCGGGGACAGGCGGGGGTCGCGCCGCGCTTCCTTCAGGCTCCCTCCATCGCAAGCCGCCTACGGGTCTCCCGAGGTCTCTGGCTTTTCCTTCTCAAGATGCTTCTTCTGGGGACCCTGGTTGGGGGGTTGGGGGGTTGGGGGAGACACAGGAGCGCTAGCCACGGAGGTCTGGCCGGCAATCCTGCCCCTGGCCAGCTGCGACTCTGCTTTTCTTTCCCTGCACGAATCAGTGCCCGGGGCTGGGCTCCTACAAGCCCCGCGGCGGGGATGGGAGCAGGGGCGAATCGGTGCGCGGGGCTGGGCTCCTACAAGCTCCGCGGCGGGGACGGGAGCAGGGGCGAATCAGTGCCCGGGCCTGGGCTCCTACAAGCCCCGGGGACGGTAGCAGGGGCGCCCCCGCCACCCTCATCCGCTCTAGCTGCCCTGCTCTGGCGCAGGAAGGGTGTGGGGGCTCCGCCCCAGGGAACAAGGGGTGGGCGGGCTCACCATGAAGACCCTCTTCTCTTGCGCGGTCTGGAAGCGGCCGTGGCCAAACTTAGAAGTGGTGTCGATGAACTTGAGTTCGATATTCTCCAGGGCCCGGCGGCTGTGATGCACCAGGAGGGACTGGGGGTCCGTGGGAGAGGAGAGCCAGATGTAAGGTCCTCACCCACACCCTCCCGCCACCCCCAGTCCACACCGGGAAGGTCTCACTCACCCAGCTCCTGCCAGAACACCTCCCTTTTTGCTTCCCCCATCCCCACCCTGCTCCAAGCAAGGCCCCCCAACCCTCCCACGGCCCATGGGCCTCCGGCTCCCCACCCACCACAGAGGCGCTGACCTTCCTCAGCGTGATGACCCGCTTCTTGGTGCCCGCGATGCAACCCTTCAGCATGACAAAGTCGTTGTTGACTTCCCCATAGTGCGGGAAGCCGCCCTGCGGGAAGGTAGGTCAGGATGCAGACCCCGCAAGGGGCTGCCGAGTTAGGGGCAGCTGCAATCCTGGCCCCAGGGCAACACCCTGGATCACTAATCAGGGCAGCATCTGAGCCACATTCTGAGTCCTTCCTTACCTCATTTCACAATCTACATTTTAGTGAGGGAGAAACTGAGACTCAGGGATGTGGAGTCCCTTGTTCTGGGCCCTGTAGCTGCTCCATACTGCAGCTGGGATTTGAACCCAGGGGGCCTGAGTGCAAGGCCACAGTTGCAGCTTCTGTACCCCACACCCCGTGACAGCAGCTGGAGTGTAAGCCATCTGCAGAGGAGGTTCAGGATGCGGGAACAGCATGGTTTGCCAGTGGCCACCCTCTGGGGCCTGAGCTCTTGAGGCAGGGCAGTACCCCACGTGCCTGCTCGCACATGCATGCCACACCCGCTCACCAGTGGTGTAATGGACTTGTCAGTCACATCGTAGCTCGTGGACGCATTGTTCTTGACCACCTTCCCATCCTCCTTGTGCAGCCCCCGGCCAATACGGTAGATCTGCCAGGAGAACAGGGCACATGGCGGGCCACAGGTGGCCTCCAGAGCCAGTGGTATGTCTGTACCCACCGGCATGTGTGCTTGGACCCAGGCACTGGCAGGGGCGTTTCAGAGCCTTTGGGGGGCCAGCAGTGTCTGGGTCACGCACCCCACCCACTGGGGTCTGGTCATGAGTGTCCCTCTACCACCGGGACTGTGGACGCACCTTCTTGTTGAGCTCTGTGCGGTGGTGGTAGCCCTTCTGCCCGGCCCGAGCAATGGAGCAGCCCACGCGGGCAGGGTGCCAGGCGCCAATGCAGGCCACCTTGCGCAGCCCCTTGTGGGTCTTCCGTGGCAGCTTTTTGGTATGCCAGCGGCTCGTGACCCCTGCAGGGGGTGGAGGGGGGCTAGTGCCTGAGAGGCCAGTCTGGCCCCACCCCCTCCAAGGAGCCTTCCCGAAGCCACCATTCCCACCCAGCCCTACCTTTGACACCCCGGCCCTTGGTGACAGCAATGACATCAATGACCTCACTCTGGCTGAACACGCTGTGCACGGGCACCTGCTTCTCTAGCCGGGCCTGGGCCCAGGCCACCTTCTCAGCCACCGTGCCACCGTTCAGCTGTATCTCCATGATGTGGGCCTTCTTCTGCCGGAAAGGCAGCAGCTTCATCTGCAGGACATGGCACAGCCAGTCGGCTCCCAGAGGCTCCCAGCCCCCATTTGCAGATATGGCATGACTGGCTGGAAAGCCCTGGCAGGCTTTCATGCATGCATTCGTTCAACAGATGTTCCAGTGCTTGGGTCTGTCTACTCACTATGTTCTGTGCTAGACACTGGAGGGATAGAGCACGGAATGAGGCAGGCAGGGTCCTGGCCCTCAGGGAGACACTATCTAATTGGGAGACAGAAATCAAGTAAATTCTTGGACAGGGCGGAGTATTCTAATGGAATATTGGGGGCAGAGGGGACAGTTATTGCACATAGGGCAGTCAGGGAGGACCCCTCTGATGTGACACCAATAACAAGAAGGAGCCACTAAGTGAAGATCTGAAACTTCGGGGAGCAGAGGGAACCGCATGTGCAAAGGCCCTGTGGCAGGGAGTTGGTCGGATGGAAAGGAGACCAGTGTGTCTAGACCATGGTGAGCAAGGAGGAACATGGTGCAGGATGAAGTCAGAGGTGAGCAGGAGCCTGCCTGTGCAGGTCTTGTGGGGAGAAGCTGGGGCTTTATTCTAAGTGCAGGGTGTGACACTGTGCTTCATATGTTTAGATATCTTTGGCTGCTGCTGTGTGAGGCACGGGCTGTGGGGACACAGGTGGAAGCAGGGACACTGGCCATGTCATAGTGCTCAAAGAGGACTTATGGAGCACCTACTGCATACAAGACACAGACTGAGCAGGCAGCCGTGGCCCCTGCCCCCATGGAGCTCCAGTCTGTCAAGGGAAATGGATGCGACCAATGACAGGCATAACTAGGAACAGCAAGGGAGGAGCGGGGTGCTGCTCCAGGCCTAGGCGAGCAAGCCTTCCCTGAGGACAAGATGCCAAGGCATGTTCCAGAATAAGCCAGAAGGTGTTAGTAACCTTTTCAGCCCACATCATACCAGACCCCATGTACAAATGTTGGCTCACATACATACTTGTGCAGGCCCCAAAGGGAAGGGGTTGGCCCTCGACGCGGGACGTTTGGCAGAAGATCCAGGCCTTTCAGGGCATGGGAGGGCACTGGTTGAGCACTAGGCATGGCGGGTGCCCCACAGCCCTCAGAGCACACTGACCCCCAGCATGCCATCCCTGGGACAGCAGCTGGCCAATGCGCGGCCAGTCACCCAACCCTTTGGGCCTGTGCCCCAGGCTCGTGGTATTTTTAGGCTGACATTTGCCAGGGCTCCTGGAAGCTGGGGTGGAGGAGAATGGGGGAGGGTGGGTCCAGGGCATGGACTGGCGGCCTGGGTGTGGACAAGGTGGCGGGGCTGACCTGAGTGTGGACAATGACACGGATGACCTTGCAGTACTTCTTCATGGCGGCGAAGTCTTTCTGCAGCTGCTTCTTGCCATCGGCGTCCCGCCACCTCTTGCAGGCCTTGGTAAAGGCTTTCTTCTTGCTCTTGTGCCTGAGCCACATGCAGGAGACACTTAGAGGGGCCAGCCAGGGCAACTCCCCAGGCCTGTCCGGGCCCCACATGCCCACAGCCCACCACGCAGTGCTCTTAGAACAGTGCCTGTCCCTTCCTCCCTCCTTCCCTTCCCGGGGAGGCCACCGCTGGGCCCTCCCCTGGGGTCCCTGGGCTGCTTTCAGCCACCTGCTGGGAGCACAGACTGTCCCTCCCTCTCCAGGTCTCGGGTTCCTCCTCTGCAGAGTGGACACCCTCCTGCCTCCTGAGGCCTGCGAGTGAGCGTCAGATGTGCAGAAGCTGGAGGGAGGGACAGGCAGCCCCCCTACCCCCGCCACCTGCCCATGTTGCTAGAGCTGCAGACCCCACTTGTAAAGCCAACAGCCAGTGCTGGCGAGGCGCCATGCCACTTCGCGCCGAACCCTCACCCAAACTCTGGAAGGTGGATGTATGGTCCCCGTTCTATAGATGAAGAAACCAAAGTTCACAAAAGTCGAAGCCCCTGGATGAGGGGCAAAATGGTAACAGAAGAGAGCCAAACCAAGGCCTGCTGCATTTGGTGAGTGCTTGCTGTGTGCTCCTGTGACCCTCACAGCAGCCTGCTGACACAGGGACCGTCCCCCCCGATGCTGTCCCCAGCCAGTGGTGTCTGTGATGGGGGGCGCAATCTAAGAGGCTCTACGAGGTCAGCCAGCTTGCCTGCGGTCATCCAGACTGCTCTGGCTCAGGGGCCCAAACCTGTCACCTCCCTCAGAGCGCACCAGGACGGGAGTGCCTCCAACTCCGTAAGGATGGGGATGTGTGTGAGGTTCCTTGGGCAGGTAGGCCTTCCCTTTCAGGACGTAGAGCCAGGGAAAATCTAAGTCCCCCAAATGCCTTTCTTTCTGATGAGAAGAGCTTGTCAGCTGGCTCTTTCCCCTTTTCACTCTGGCTGCTAGGAAGCTCTGAGCCAACTCTAGCATTCCATCAATTAGTCCCTTAATTTAACCCTTAATTAGAACACTCGCTTCCTCTCTTTCTCTATCCCGATCTCTACTCCAGTGCCCTGGCACTTGTCTCTCACTGAAGCAAAGGCAACCCCCCACCCCCAGCACACACGTTCCTGCCTGCCGTGCACTGCAGACACTGCGCCCACCCGTCCCCTGCCACTGTCCCAGCCCGGGGCTGGGGATGGAGGCACGGCCAGCCCACGCGTACGCCCCCTAGGGGCGGCCCCCACCAGTCCTTGTAGAAGCGGCGACGGCACTCGTCACTAAGGTGCTCTGCAAAGATCGTCTTGAAGCTCCGCAGGCCGCGAGGGGTGGCCACATAGCCCACCACGCCCACCACCACCAGAGGCGGTGTCTCCACAATCGTCACAGCCTCCACTTCCTCCCGCTTGGAAATTTCTGGAAGAGACCCCAAGAAGGAGCATGGAGGAGGGCCCCATGGGGAAGAGCCAACTCCAGCCCCTCCTGCCCAAGGGAGGGTGGAGCACCGCGGCCTCAGGGAGGGCCCCCACTGACCTCAGTCCCCAGCCTGCCCACTCACTGCCCTTTCCCTCTCTGCTCCGCCCTGGGCATGGAGCAGGTGCTGGTCAGGGCCCTTCAGGTGCTCTGCGCTCTGGCTCAGAGATCTCAGACAAGGCCTGACCTGCTCCCTGCCTCCGTTTCCCCACCAGGTCATCTGGAAATGGGTTAGGAGAGCCAACAGCCAGCCCGGCATCCCCCAAAGGGTAGGGTTGGGATTCCTTAAGCGGAGCACACATGAACATTCTTAATTTTAATAGTCATGAATATGTGCGGATGAGCTCTAGAAAAATACCTATAATTTGTCCCGAACCAATGATTTTGTAGATGTTATTTCTGAGACTAATACAAAGTAAAAGTATTTGTTTAAAATAAATATTAGGAGTGGGATATCTGGGTGGCGCAAGCAGTTGAGCATCTGACTCTTGGTTTCGGCTCAGGTCATGATCTCAGGGTCGTGAGATCGAGCCCCACGAGGGCGATGGCAGGCTCCGTGCTCAGGGGGGAGTCTGCTTGAGATTCTCTCCACCTCCCTCTCCCCCTCCCCACCGCTCGTGCGTGTTCTCTCTCTCTAAAATAAATAAATTAAAAATAAATAAATAAAAATAAAACACATATGAGGAGAGATGAGGATGAGATGGGCAGTTGCCCAGAATTTGGAGGGGTGGTGGCTGAAGCTCTAGAAGGGCAACAGGAAGGACCCCTGTGGGGATAGAATGTTCCACAGTAGCGCACTTAAAGGGGGCAGAACCCCATAGAACTAAATGCGCATGCGCACTTGCCCCAACCAGGGAAACCTGAACAGGATGGGTAGGTCGTATGCCTGTCAATACCCGGTTGTGACCCTATTACTATAGTTTTATAAGCTATTTCCATCGGGAAACTGGGCAAAGGGTGCATGGGATCCCTCTGTCTTACTCCTTACAGCCACATGTGAACCAACCCTGATCTCAAAATGAAAAGTATATGGGGGCATCTGTCTTTGAATCGTAGCTCCTGCCCTTACTAATCGGGCAACCGGCAAGTTTCCTAACGGCTTAATTTCCCCATCTGTAAAATGGGGGCCAGGACAGAACACACCTCAAGGTGTGGCCAGTGGTCAGGGTTCCTTGACAGTGTCCTGACTGTGGCTCCCACGGGCAGGGCCTTGCCCTTTCTGGGGCTGCTTCCCCTCCTGGACCCCAGTTCTGGCTCCTAGCCTCCAGAAGTCTTTCCAGATCCCCTGCAGGCAGGGAGGCTCCACACCCTCCCCATGCGTCCGCCTGCAGCCACTCACTGAGCCCGGGCCTGTGCACCTCTCGAAGAGTGTGCGTCATGCCCGCCTTGTAGCCCAGGAAAGCCGTGAGGTGTACGGGCCGGCTGGGGTCGTCCCGAGGCCAAGTCTTCACCTTGCCCCGGTGCCGGCTGCTCCTCTTGTGGGGCAGGAAGCCCAGGTGTCCGTGCCGAGGGGCAGAGAACTTCCGGTGGGACTGGGGGCAGGAGGGGAGGGAGGTCAGAGCTGGGGTGTCCCTGGTGGGGGCGGCTGGATGGGCCCGGAGCCCAGCCCCAGAGAAGTGAGTTAGAGAGCCCAGACTGGACCCCGGTGGTCTTCGGTACCTCCCTCCCTCAGTCCACGGGAAAGGAGGGAGGTTGGCTCAGGGCAGTGTCTTAGGGACAGAGCCAGCACCAAGCCCTCCTCACCCACAGGCTTCCTGCTTCAGTGGGCTGCACCTGCTGGGCCCAGGAGGGACAGGCCCACACTGTGGCTCAGGGCTAAAGGGACAGGGGGCCACTGCCATCTGTCCATCTTCCTGGCCATTCTAGGCCTGGCAACCTGAGCTCTGGGCCCCTGTTGTCCCTTCAGTCACCTACTCCCCCATAGGCCCAAGGACCATCCCTGCTGGGAGAGACTCCAGAAGCCCACCTGCCCCTCCCAGGAAGCCAGCTGGCTCCTGCCCCCCAGCCCACTGACCATGGCAGCCGGTCCCCGCAGGTCAGGAAGGGAAAGGGCCTCCCGACAGGCGCCGGAGGTCGAGTGGCAGGGCCAGAACGCACAGCAGCCAGCTCCCAGATTTAGCCCCTGGCAGGGGAGCTTGTTCACGTCCCGTGGCGGGCATGGGCTCCCAAGACAGGAGCAGGCCCAGTCTGGGGCGGGGCGAAAGGGGGCATCAGATGGGCAGCCTGGGGTGGGGATACCTGAAGCCAGGCCTGTCACTCCTGTCCTCAAGGACCCTGGGACTGGCTCACACCCACTTTGTTTTCTGCTTTGTATTACCCTCCCAGGACAGGAACACCTTGGTCTGCTAAGGAGTCAAGGAACCCCAGCTGGGGAGGGGGCTTCTTCTAGGCTTGCTGTGACGAGGGTCTGACCCAGTGGGCAGGCAGTGAGGTGGAGGGAATTCCTGTCCTGTCTTGAGGGTGGTGAGCCCAGCCTGGACAAACTGCAGGGTGCCGGGGCCGGGTGTGGTAACCGCTGTGATCCAAGAACAAGGAGTCTATATGGTTATAAAGTTCCTAACTCGGAGAATCAGTTGCACAGGCGTAAAATGTCTCTGAGGGCCTGTGGGCCTTGCCTTGCTGATGCTAAGATTTTATGCAACTCAAATGTCACAATTCTCTGTTGTTGCTGTTGTTACTCGCAAAGCTACTTTTATTATTTGGGGCTGGACCCCACAGGAATAAAATCCCTGGGAAGGGGCAAACCTCAGCCCCCTGAGTGGCCCAGGGCGAGAGAGGCTACCTGAGGGAAGGAAGCACGGAAGGGATGCCCGCAGACTCAGGGCAAAGGGAATGCGGCCGCCAGTGCGGAGGCCCGAGTGCACTGCAGGACATGTGGCCTGTGGTGGGACTGACTCCAGGCGCACAGGCCAAGAACCAGAGGGCCGGGCACAGAGCCACAAGCTACTTGGGTTCCTCCCTCTCATCTGCCTCATCCTACTTCTGCTACATGATCTCCAAGTCCCTCTGCTGCCTGGTAGCAGCAGAGAGCTGCCAGCCCCGGACTTTCCCTTAACCGAGGTCTCTGCTTTCTCCTACTCTGGTGAGCCATAGTGGTGGCGGCCACGGCTCCAGCCTGAATCTGTTGGGTTCCCTTCTTCAGTCCAATGTTACAGGGCAATGTTAAGATTCTTTTGGTCAGGGGGCGCCTGGGTGGCTCAGTCGGTGAAGTGTCTGCCTTCAGCTCAGGTCATGATCCCAGGGTCCTGCCATCGAGTCCTGCATCAGGCTTCCAGCTCAGCAGGGAGCCAGTTTCTCCCTCTCCCCTCCCCCCTGCTCCTGTACTCTCTCTCTCATACATAAATAAATAATCTTTAAAAAAAAATTCTTTTGGTTGCACAGCGTGTGTTTCTAAGAGTTCATGATTTCACGATTTGACATTTCTATGATCAACGATTCTCTGCATCTACAGAGTTGATGGCTCCCCTGCCCTGGCCCCAGCCTCTAGGCATGAAGTGACCATCACCCTCCCTGGTGCTGGTCAGGGGCCATGCCAGGTATGGAGATCACCGAGGGTGGTCAGCAGGGTCCTGGTCAGTGGAGCTGCCCCAGGGGGCACACTGTGCCCAGGGCCAGGGCAGAACCATCAGAGCCACACCAGAGCACTGTGCACCCAGGGGCCCCCAGGGCAAGCCCTGCCTCTTGCTCTGCCCTACACAGGACCCCTAAGCTCAGTGGCATTAGCCTGTCCATGAGAGGCCCTGGAAGACACAGCGGAGCCCAGAGAAGCCTGGCTGTAGGGAACGGGCAATTCGAGAAGTCTTCCCGAAAGAGTAGGGCGTTGGGTAGGGCGTGTTATTTGTTGATGCTGTTATTTGTTTGTTCTAGCGGCCTGAGTTCTCCAGAAGGGCCCAGCTGTGTTCATCTTGCTCCCTGCTGCACTTGCCACGTGTCTGTACACCAAGAAAACTGAATGGTTTACTTATTCCTGTGTCTGTCTTGTCTTAGAATGTAAGCAGGAAGAAAAAAAAAGAAAAGAAAAAGGAATGCCAGCAGGGGCCCCTGCCTCGCTCCCCAGAGTATCCCACGCGCCGAGAGCAGCGCCCAGCTCAAAGGACGCGGGACCGGAGGGGAGCGTGCGCAGCGCTGCCGCGGCCCACCATTGGGCGGGCCGAGGGAACTACAAGTCCCATGGTGCCTCGCGAGCACCGCCCCCCCATCCCGCGCAGGCGCAGCCCCGTTAGGGCGTCCTCTGCGGCGGAAGAACTAGGCCGTGGGACCCTGGCGGAGGCTGGGGTTGTGCGTCCGAGAGTGGGTACCCCTCGCGCGCGGCGGCCATGCCGGACAGCTGGGACAAGGACGTGTACCCCGAGCCCCCGCGCCGCACGCCGGCGCCCTCGCCGCAGACCTCGCTGCCCAACCCCATAACCTATTTGACAAAGGCCTTCGACCTCCTCGTGGACCGGCCCGTGACCCTAGCGAGAGGTACGGACCCTATCCGGGCCTCGCCGCTCCCCAGGGCCCCTCGCCGCCCTTCGGCGATCCCCGCACCCCTTCGCCCAACCCCGGGCTTCGCCCCCGTGACCATCCCCCGCCGTCCGCACTTGCGGGCCGCGTCGCCTCTTTGGACCCCCCGCCCCCCACCCTCACTGCACCCTGGGAACTCCCCTCGCTCCTACACCAAGACCACTCACTGCTTTCCCGCCCCCGCCGCCTGGGGAACCCTCTACGCACCCCTGGTCGCCGTCTCCGGCCTCACCCAAATATTAGCGGATCGCAGTCTAGTCTGGGGCTTGCTAAACCCCATTCTCCCTGCACGCTTTGCATCTTGCGTTGGGCACAGAAGGCAGTCAGCAAACGGGGGTTGCCAGCCTTCTGCACAACTGCTGCAAAATGACCGGGGTGGTCAAGTGCTGGCCGAGGTCCCCTCAACCTAGATGTGCTGTGACTTGTACTCTGTGTGTGCTCACGCTTAAGAACTGTCCAGATCCCATCTCTGGTCCAAACCAGGCAGATGTTTAAAACAGCTCTTTGTGGCCCAGTTTGTTGTTCAGCTAGACCAGCGGAGGCAGCAGCAGGAGCACACTCTGCCCTCAGTCACTGGTGCCTGGTATTTCATCCATGCATTTAACTCATTCGTTCAAACAACCCAGCCACCCACGTGCTGCGATGCCCCGGTGGGTCCTTTCTTTGGATAAGGTCAGCAGATCAGAACCCCAAATCTGGAAAAGGCACAGCAGTGAACCCACTCTTTCTTAGAAAGTGTTTTGTGTGTCTGGAAGGATGAGATTTCACTAGTTCCAACTTACCAATTTCTGGGTGGGGCTGCTGAGGCCAGGTTAGTGGCAGCAAAACTGGCTTGGCGCCTCTGCCTACATGGGAAAGACCCTGTGTTGTGGGGAGGTTGGCTAGCAGGTAGGACCTATAGTAGGGTGTGGGCTTGCAGAGCATGGGTTCAGAATCCTGAATTCTCTCTGGGCCTACGTACTCTACTGGGAGCTACCCCCTGGCATAACACACATGGTGCCTGGCTCCCAGGAAGCCCTCTGTAAACCATAAACGGTGGACCTCACCATTAGTAACCCAGGACAACCAGCCACACCTGTTTTTTGAGAGTCTAATTAGCAGTGTTTGTAAAAGCAGTCTGCCCCTTCCATGGCTTGTGAGAAAGAAGAGAGCTAAGAGCAGTTTTTGTGGCCTGTCCAAACCAACGGGGCCTTTTGAGTCTGGGGTTTTTTCTTTACAGAGTTTATAGAGCGGCAGCATGCGAAGAACAGGTATTACTACTACCACCGGGAGTTCCGCCGTGTGCCAGACATCACCGAGTGCCAGGAAAAGGATATCTTGTGCATGTTTGAAGCAGAAATGCAATGGAGAAGAGACTAGTATGTCCTGCCTGTGTGTGTCCCTTAGGAAACACTGAGCCTCATTCAGCACCTCTGTTGGGTTCTTAGCCCCAGGGATACCATGGGATGGTGGTCAGCCACCAAGAAGGCCTCCTGGGGTTCGCCCAGATCCTGAGGGTGGAGGGGCCGGACAACAGGGCCCTAAGGTCTTGCTTTCATTCTATCTCTGGGTACAGGGAAAAGATTCCTCATAAACCACCTTTGTTTTTTTCAGTAAAGTTGATCAAGAAATCGTTAACATTATCCAGGAAAGGCTGAAGGCCTGTCAGCAGAGGGAAGGTGAGAACTACAGGCAGAACTGTGCCAAGGAGCTGGAGCAGTTCACCCAGGTGGCCAAGGCCTACCAGGACCGCTGTAAGCAAGCTCCCGCCCTAAGCCTGATCCTTCAACCCTAACTTCACCGCCCAAATTGTGCCAGTTGGTTGGGGGAGGGGGTGATTAAGACAATCACTATATCCCAGGTCCCTTCTCTATTCAGTATGTTAGCTGTTTCCTCCCCACTTTTAAAGAAGACTCTGGTCTGTATTCTGGTAGATTTAGTCCATGACTTCCATCCCCCTATCTCTTTCCCAGATCACGACCTGGGGGCCCATTATTCTGCCAGGAAGTGCCTGGCAAAACAGAAGCAGCGGATGTTGGCAGAGAGGAAGGCGGCTAAAGAGGCCGCCACTGCCTAAAGCAGCTCCCTGAGCACCTTCACAAGATTACTATTAAAATAAAGAGTAATTAAGAAACCTGTTTCTGGTGTCACCTTTAGTTGCCATCCTGGATCTGTTGACCTCACTGGTCCGATCTCCCTTTAAATCCAGCTACAACTAAACTCATAAGAAAAATACACAAAAAGCACTATTAATAAGCTTTAGTTCACTTTATTTTTCTTGTATAAAACTAGGTGGTGGCCACAGCTGGAGCCTGGGTCCTCTGCACGGAGACTCTGGTATGGGTCTTCACAAGATGGTCAGTGAATTCCTAGAAAAAGACAGGCCTTTAGTTGTAGCCATACCTCAGCACCCTGTACACACCTGTCCAGGCTAAGGGGGTGGCTGGGCAGCCAGTACCTGATACGGAGACTTGGTGAACACCGTCTCCTTCCAGAGGTCAGGGGTGAGATAGCTGTAAGTCTTGGAGATGGCATCAAAAGTAGCCTTAGCTGGAAGAGAGAAAATAGAAGGTTGGCGGATACACGACACAACACCCCAGATGCAGACAGAAGATGTTGCGCTCCTAGGAACAGAGAGGCCACTTGGGGTCAGTCTGCCGTGCATTAAGAGGGCCTTCCTCTCTCTCTCAAAATACGCCAAGCACACACTGAGTATGATAAAGCGGAGCTGAGAGAGACCACATCCTCTGTGAGGGCCACCTACCGAAGTTCCCCAGCGTGGCAGTGCAGCCTCTGGCTGAAGTGTAGCAGTCATCGATACCGGCCATCATCAGTAGCTTCTTGGGCACAGGGGCTGAAACAATGCCAGTGCCTCTGGGGGCGGGGATGAGACGCACCAGCACAGAGCCACAGCGGCCAGTCACCTGCAAAAGGTGGAGGAGTCAGGAGACGGCCTAGGGGGAGTCGGCACCACCGGAGGCCCCATTACCCCCCAAGCCTACCTTGCATGGGACAGTGTGAGGCTTGCCGATCTTGTTCCCCCAGTAGCCTCGCCTCACGGGGACGATGGAAAGCTTAGCTAGGATGATGGCCCCACGGATGGCAGTGGCGACCTCCTTGGAGCACTTGACACCCAGGCCGACGTGTCCGTTGTAATCTCCGATGGCAACAAACGCCTGTGAGGAACCCGACATGGTTAGGGGTCCGCTGGTTGGCACGGCACCAGCAGCCACCAACTGGGCCTGTGGCGCCCCTCGAGGAAGGAGTGGCCACCGTGAGAGGCCACTCTGAGGTCCCGAGGAGATCCTTTCTCTCTCTCCCCGTTACGAAAGCCACGCGTGTAGTGACAGGCATGACCATGCAGAGCTGAGAGAGTCTCACCCAGCCCAGGAACACACGAGGTGACTAGGATACCTTGAACCTGGTCCGCTGGCCAGCACGGGTCTGCTTTTGCACAGGCATGATCTTCAGAACCTCATCCTTGAGGGATGCTCCCAGAAAGAAATCAATGATCTCCGATTCCTATGGGATGAGATTCCAACGAGAACGTTCACTAGAAAGCTCAGTAATCACCTGTAACCGTTCCCCCTAAAGAACCTCCACCCGGCTCCTAGAACTGCTTTTCCAACTGTCCACGTTTTGTCTCCAAGTCGAATACCTTAAGTCAGAGATGGGGCACCTAGACATTCACACTCTACTCAGACGTGGAGCCTCGGCCGGGGTGGACAGGTCCCACCCCTGGACCCAAGGCCAAACAAATAAGCCTCCCGGGGACCCCACCTGCCAACGCCCTGTCTTTAAGTGGGGGGGGGAGAGGACCCCCTCGTTACCTTGATAGGCAGAGAGAAAAGATAGATCTCCTCTAGGGACTTGATCTTCATGTCCTTGACCAGGCGGCCCAGCTTGGTGACGGGGATCCACTGGAGAAAGAAAAGGCGCCTATAACTACGGTCGCCCGATCGGCACCGCCCACGGGCCCATCGCACGCGCGAGGCCCCGAACCTACCTCCTTGTCCTCGGCCTTGCCTCCACGAGCTCCGCGGCCTCGACCCCTGCCCCGACCACGGCCGCGACCGCGGCCCCGGATGCCGCTGCCGAAGCCTCCGCGGAAGCCGCCGCGGCCTCCCATTCCAGGGCCCCCGGGCCCTCCGGGCCCTCCCGCAGCACCGGCGTCATCCGCCATTTGCTGAAAAGAACGTCGAGAAAGGACCAGTCAGCGAGGCCCTGGCACCTGCGGCCGCCCGGGACCAGGGCTCCCGCCCAGCAGTGCCAACGCGCCGGACCGAGCCCCGCCAGAAGGCCGCGCGGATCCCTGTCGCCCGGGCCCGCGCACACGGCCACCAGCACGAACACTCACGTGTTCTCTCGGAGAAGAAGAACGAGGTCGCGCGGAGGGAGTATTTATACCACGCCAAGTGCCGCGAGATCTCGGCTGCCCCGCCCCAGCCGTGTGTTCGCCACGGGCCTATAAGGACGGTGGAAGCGCACTGCCGGGTTTCTCCGCGCGCTTCGCGTGCGCCTGCGCGTCTGCGGCTCTTAGTGTTGGCGCCGGCACTGCCAGGCTACGCGGCGCTGCAGGTAAGCCCGCGCCCCGCCGCGTCCCTGGGTGGTAGCTGGGAGGTCGGCGTTGGTTGAAAATCACCCGCGGCTTTGGCGGTAGCCGCGGGTGAGATTCGGCGCCTACAGCTACCGGGGACCTCAGCTCACCGCCCACTCGTCCGTGTGGGCAGGTGAAACCCAGGCCCCGACACGCGCCCCGCCGGCCCCGGCCCGCGTGTGTTCTGGCCTCTTGCCTCTGATCCCTGACCTCCTGTTCTGCCCGCAGGGTGCCGACGCCCCGACCGTGAGGCCCCCGCCGCCAGGACCACGGGGAGGGGGGAGCTCTGCTCCCAACGCCCAGTGAGGTTGTCGGTCTGAGTCCTGCACGTGTGGGTGTTCCCGGCCCCCCACGCATCCGCCTGATGGTGCATCTGTGAGCGCAGGGAGCAAGGTGTGCAGTGGAGGGGAGACCCTATGGGACACCTCTTGCCCGGCCAGCCGGATTCCGCATCGGATGCCACAGAGGGGTACAGCTTGGGTCCCAGGGGCTGGCAGGTGACTCCTCCGTGGCATCCCGTGAGTGGCAGGGCCAGATTTGAAATCCTGGTGTGTTTCACACACCAAATAGCTTCCACAGTAGCAGATAAAGTACCTTTGAACTGGGCTACCAACCCACTAGCGAATGTGACAATGAAGGGAAACATCCCTAAGGTGGAGTTGGAAGGCTAGAAGGGGGAGCTCTGCCACTCAACATCAATTACAGACCCCAACAGGGAAGGATGTAGGGATTACTCCTGCAACTCAGCCAGTGAGAAACTGTCATCACCCTTGAACTCTTGCTTTTCTCCAGGGGACTTCAATCTCTCCCAACTTTCTTTCTCCATGAAATAAAGTTCCTTTCCTTTGTTTTTTGGGGGCTTGCTTGTAGTCTTGCCATAGTTTGCATGTCCTGAATTGCAGTTCTGGTTATTTCCAAATAAACACATTTTTGCCAGTGAAATAATGGACTTTTATTTTTAAAGTTAACCCAAGAATGAGAGTGTCAGATTCCCAGCTCAAGGGCTTGCATGGGCCCCATATTGCTCTCAGGAGGGGGATAGGGTCTGGGATAGGATTTGGTGACCTTGGTATTCGGTGCTACCAAACGTGCAGTTATCTATTATGTGCCTCACGTGTGGGAATATGTTGGTTTCTCAGGTGGAGACTGATTTCCCCATGTCTTCTCAGAGGCCTGCCCCCATCGCCAGAGCCTACCTGTTCTGGAAAGCTTTCTCACAGACTAGACTCCCCACTGTGGTGGTACCACAGGTTGCATGGGAATTTGGTCCTCACTTCCCTCCTGATCTGTACTCTGGACCTAGCGCCATGAGTCTTAGATCCTAGGAGACCTAATGGTGGGTCGACGTCAAAAGTCCCCGGGTTTTGGAGATCCGGCCTGGGCAGCACTATTTGAGAAGTGAGAAGGGAATGATTCCTACATTCCTGCCAAAGCCTCAGCTTTGGGGAAAGAGACCTCAGAAGTTTAGTTCCCAGCCTAGTGCTGCTGGGGGATCAGCTATCAACCACTCCCAAGACGGGGGCTTCAGGGACCCGCCCCAGGTCCAGACTACCTATTCCTCAGACTACCTATTCCTCAACTCTGAGCAAGGGCCAGATGGTACAGGATCGCAGTGGGCCCTGAGCCGGGGCTGTGATTGGCCTGAGCTGGACAATGCCACTGTGAGGTCGGTCCACTCCTGCTATGAAATGGAGGCTCCTGAGCCCTGGGGGTCAGTGGAGCTGCTGTCCAGACACAGATCATGGTGAGCCTGGGACCCTTTTGCCTCTGGCCCTTAAATGTGTTCCTAAATCGAGACCTGTCCAGAGCTGGACCCCATTCCTCACTCTGAGAAAGGGTGAACAGTGGGTTACAGGCTCCCCAACAAGACAAGGAAACCAACCTTTGCAAGGGTTCTGGCCATGTCTAACTCCAGACCAAGGCCAGCTTCTCCAGCTGGGGACTGATAGTCTTGAAGGGCCTTGACCCTCACAGCTGCCCCCTCAAAGTGGGTCCTGACCCAACCCTCCACTTGGGGGGCCCACCTCCCCATCCTGGGGTTTCCCTCTGGGTATGTAGCTGGAACCTGGTCCAGCCAGGCACTGATTTTAGCCTGGCCTTTGCAGAGTGGCGGATATGATCTCAACCTCTTCGCCAGCCCTCCCGACTGCAACTTCCTGTGCTCTGTGTGCCACGGGGTTCTCAAGAGGCCAATGAGGTTGCCATGCAGCCATATCTTCTGCAAGAAATGCATCCTCCGGTGGCTAGCCAGGTGCTAGTGGGCACCCAAGAGGCTGGGAGGACAAGGGCAGGGCTGTTTCCTTCCCTGTGGCCCAGAACAGAGAGGAAGGTGGGCCAAGCATTAGGTCACAGTGGGCATAAGAGTCAGCTTCCAAATCTAGGACACTAAAGTACATGTGTCCCTGCACCCTGGGGTACTTACAGCCCATGGCCCCAACCTCAGAGCTGAGTTCCCCAGGAAGTACTCAGGCCTCTTCCAGCTTGAGAGAAGGGACCACCTGGGAAGGCGTGTTGCTGTCTCTTGGTCCCTTTCCACTCCCAACACTCCACACCCCCCACTCCTGCCTCCTAGACAGAAGACCTGTCCATGCTGCAGGAAAGAGGTGAAACAGAAAAAGATGGTCCATGTAAATAAACTCCGGAGGACTATCGGCCGCCTGGAAGTCAAGGTAGCTTGAAGCACCCACTCCCAGCACCCTTCTCTCTCCTGCCAGGAGAGGGACAGAGCCAGGAGAGGGGGTAAGGAGAATCCTATCAGAAAGAACTGAGAGTTTCTGCTCCAGCAACACTGACTGCAGCCTCAGGGTCATCAGTCCTGCCTGAGTTTGAGTCCCATCTCTACCACTTACTTGCTGTGTGACTTTGGGCAAGTTACCTAACCTTTTTGAGCCCCTGGAGCCTCAGCTGTAAAATGGGGATTATACAAGATTTTTAGAGGATGAAGTGTCTGCTGTGCTGGCCATCACCCCAATCCCCTAATTTTATAGATGAGGAAACTGAGGTTTAAAAAAACAAACTTGGCTTGTGTACAACTGCAAGATCAACCCAGCCGTGTACCTCCCCCCACCCCCCATCCCTCAAGCCTTTGGCCCTGTGCACCTGGTCTCAGAGGTCTAGATTCTTCCCACCTCCAAACATTTGCCCAACTATTTCCCCCCTCCATATCATTGATGCCATTAGAGCTTGACAGGCTCCCTGATTAGGAAGGTCCCGGATGGGGGATTCTGCATGAAGTAGGCTGCTCCAGTGCTGGCCACGTCCGACTTGGTTTGGCTCACATGGTGCTCTCCCCCCACCCTCAGTGCAAGAACGCGGAAGCTGGCTGCTTGGTGACGTGCCCCCTGGCCCATCGAAGGGGGCACCAGGACTCATGCCCTTTCGAGCTGATGGCCTGCCCCAATGAGGGCTGCACGGCACGGGTGCCACGTGGGGCCCTGGCTGAGCACTGGCAGCACTGCCAACGTGGGGCCCAGCAGCGCTGCCCACTGGGCTGTGGGGCCGCCCTGGGCCCGGTGGAGCGTGCACGCCACAACTGGTACCGCGAGCGGCGCGACGCCTGGACCCAGCGTCAGGAGCGCAGCCGGACCCTGGTGCGGGGCCTGCTGCGGCGCATGCGCAAAGTGCACCGCACCACCAATCTCATCCGCAGGCAGCTGGCCCAGCTCGGAGACTTCCTGGAGGAGGACGACGCGCTGCTCGTGGGCGCCCCGCAAGGGGAGACCGAGGCCACCCCAGAAGGCAGCATTGGGGCCGAGGTGTGGGGGGCCCAGGGCCAAGGTACCTTGTAAACAGAGGGGTAAATAAACGCAGAGCCCAGGCCTGGCCCGCCCTGCCACCTCTGTGCTTGCCGGCCTCATAGCTTTATCCCATTTGCCACACACACACACACACACACACACACACCTTTATCCCATTTGCCACACACACACACACACACACACAC